TTATTTTTTTACTTCTCCAACAAATTATTGCGTATATGTAGCGATTATCACGGTTCGATTTGAACTGAACCAGACACTATAGCAATCGAATTAAAAGTTTTCAATTATGATTCAGATCTAGAACCCAATATTTGGATTTTAATTTATTAAATTTAAGAATAAAAAAAAAAAAAAAAAAAAAAAAAAAAAAAAACTGGATCATGAACCGTGAATTGGCGGTTCCGGATCCAGTTAGCGATTTTGAACCGTCTTTATTTTAAAATTTTATTTTTTATTTTAAAATAGTCTAAATGCAACAATAAATGTATTTTATTTTTTCAGTTCGGAACATGAACCGGTCATTCCGGTTCGCGATTTTAATAAATTCTAAATATCGCGTTTTGATTATAAATTGTAATTGGAATATTTTGGTTCGGTTGCTATAGTATCTGTATGGTTTGAACCAAATTATAGTAATAATTTGTTGGAGAATAAAAATAAATGAAATATTTATTTTAAGGGTAAATATGTCGATTTAACATTTCAGGGGGAAAAAGAGCCACTTAAATAATTGAGGGGAAAAAAGTGCTATAAGTATATAACTTAAGGGGAAAAAGTGCCATTTTCCCTAGTTAGTTTATTAACTACTAATTTTTCAACTTTTAGTTTTCAGCTAATTTTTCAACTACGCATGCCAAACATATCAGAGCTCTCTTTTTATTTATTTATTTTTTTATTTTTTAATACGGTGCATATTAATTGATTCAGAAAAAATATGTAACAGGAAATTTACTTAACATTTTATTTTGTAGTTGATGATGACTTATATGAGCTCAATTCAAGGAATCGTAATAATAAAAAACTATACATAGTTTATTATTAATACGGAGTAGCGTTTATCTTGTTTTGAAATGTAGTAAGAATTTCATGTATGTATATTTTCAGTCAGCTGTGTTGAAATTGTCAATAGTAGTTTGTCAAAATTTTGACATTAGTTTGGGTTGGTAAAGTTGCATATATTTGCTAAGTATGTTTGCAGATATATTTGCTAAGTGTTTTTTTATTTTATTTTATTTTATTTATTTTTTATTTTTTTTGTTTTTTTTATGACTACAATATAATTCTATCTATAATATGAATTAGGATGTGATTTAAACCTGTGACCTTAAGTTTTGAATTAGTACAGTGATGCTATCAAATTACAAGTATGTATTTATATAATTATAATATTCCATTTTATTTTTTTATTTTGTTACAAAGATGCCACCTCAAACTGTGGAGTAGTTGGCAGCCGTGTGCCATTATTTGGAGCACTGCACAAGTGGTTGGACATTCAAAAAATCAAACTACTATAATTACCACGACAACATCGCCCACTCATATATACTTTATAATGCTTCATTTTTTAAAATAATTATTTAATTAAGACCATTAATGATAAATTTTATTCATTAATCGTTATCAAAATACTTATAAAAATGTACAAATGGTATTTTATGTTTAATATATAACTAGCAAGTTTAGTCATCTTTTACCTTATTTAAAAGAATCAAAGAAAAAAATTCATGTTGAATATGTTGCTTGATATGCACCCAATATCTGCGTGAAGGCAATTTTAAAAAAAAAAATAAAAAATTAAAGCACTAATCCCAAAGAGTAATCTTATGGGTGCATAACAGCATATGTGATTATGTGAAGCAACATGTTATTGGCACATGCATGAGAGATTTGGAGGTGAATAAAATTTAGAGATCGATGCTTCACAGCTAGCTAGCTAGTGGCCGGCTGCGTATTTTACATTTTTACTAAAGTACTCATAAACAAATCAAAGTTTAGGCGATTAAATAGAACAATTTATATTCATGTTATATTATATTATATTATAGGTTTTTTCAATATATATATATATAAATATATATAATTAGGTTCTGGTGTGGTTAGAGTGCTCAGGTGCGGTTGTGCGATTTAATCTGGGCCATTCATCTCGCTTAAATCAACGTCCAGGATTATCAAAATTTAAAAAAAAAATATGGTAGCAATTTTGTAATTTTTGTGTCTAGGTCAAAATTAATGTGAACGGTTCTGTGATTGATGTGCGTGAGTTTTGTATATAAGATGCGTGAGTCTTGTGCATAAGGTGCATGAGTTTTGTGCTTAATGTGCGTGGGGTTGTGCTTAATGTGAGTGTTAGTAAAACTTAAATTGTGGGTTTTTGTGTTTAAGGTGCTAGAGATTTGTTCTTAATGTGGGTGGAGTTTGTGCTTAATTTGCGTAGGTTTGTGCTTAATGTGTGTGAGGTTAGTGATTAATATCAGTAATTGTTGAAACTTAAAGTCTGTGAGTTAATACTTAAAGTGTGTGGGTTTTGTGCTTAATGTGCGTGAGATTGTGCAGGTGTGCGTTGGTTTTGTACTTAATGTGCGTGAATTTGTGCTTAATGTCAGTAGTTGTTGAAACTTGAGTTCTGTGAGTTAATACTTAAATGCGTGGGTTTTGTGTTTAATGTGTGTGAGATTATGCTTAATGTGCGTGGGTTTTGTACTTAATGTGCGTGAGTTTGTGCTTAAGATCTAACACTTAAAGGTGCGTGGCTTTCTTCCAGACACACGTTTTTTTTTTTTTTTTTTAATTTTCATTGATTTGAGCCGTTGATCTAGATTTGATCAACGACTCAAATCTAACCGTACAACCGCACGAGAAGCTATACCCGCCCATGAACCCTTCCCTATATATATATATATATATATATATATATATATATATATATATATATATATATATATATATATATATATATATATATATATATATATATATATATATATTACTCATTATTCATGAATGAGTAAGAAGAGGTAGGTACTAGGTAGAAGTTGCGGGTTGTGAGCTTGATCGAAACAAAGTGATGCGCGGCAGAGAGGGTGAGACACAATATCATAGTTTGGTTGGGACTTTTTAGTATCTTATAACCTGATCTGTCTTTTGCAATTAACAAGCTTTGCCAAGCACAAACCCACCTACTACGTGAGTTACGGATTTCCTTTACAACTCCGCCATAACTTTGGTGTGATAATGTAGGTGCCGCTTATTTATGTGCTAATCTCATATTTCATGCTCGGACTAAGCATGTCGAGATTGACTATCACTTTGTTCGTGACAAAATTTCAAAGGAAGAAATACAAGTTAATTTCATCTCTACTAAAGCCTTTGACATGCAAACGGTTTCAGCTCATGTTGTTGGTTATTATCAATTAAAGCCTTTGACAGAAAAACGGTTTCATGTTGTTGGTTATCAATTAACCTTACTCTTGAGGGAGAGTATTAGGACTTGTATTTATGATAAACTAAAACTCTATATATTCTTGTACATAATAGACTAGGTTTCTAGCTCTACTTATTATATATATCGTTTGTATTATCTCCTCTTGATTAATATTATTGAATAGTTATCTCCTCTTGACTAATACTGAATACAACTACTCTCATCGAAGGTAGTGCCATGCCTGCTATAATATTGAATAGTTATCCCCTCTTGATTAATATTGAATACAACTACTCTCATCGAAGGTAGTGCCATGCCTGCTAACCCAGAATCATATGTTTATGTAATTTTTTTTTTTCCAAAAGGTTGAATCTCAACCCTAAGGACCTTCACACCTCGACCCGACAAAATAGTTGGAAGGATGTAAATCATGGTACATCAATTGAATCATAGAGGCTAGATCTTTGCTTACTGCGCACAAGGAGCCCTCACTTTGAGAGGTTACTCCCATACTGTGGCTGGTGAGACTCAATCACTGGTCATTCTTCTCAAACTTCACCTCTATGACCAGTTGAGATGCCCATGCGACATGTTTATGTAATTTTTTACTTAGGGAAATTTGGGGTCGATAGAAATCTAATTTCATGATATCAAGAAAAGTAAATCTTACCTAAGAGGGAGTAAGATTTTTTTTCCAAGCTCAGTGCGAAACTTTTAAATTTATTCAATTACGTATTTTTATTACCTGTTTTTTTTTTTTTTTTTCTTTTGTGCTAGACTAAAAGTTTCTTATATTAGAAATTTATCTTTTTTTTTACTATTACAAAGATAACAATACTGTTTATCCCAAAAAAAGACGCAGGTACTTAGTCAATATTCTTAACTAGTTTTCTATCTCAAATACAATCTTCAAAAGTGTTGCATGCAATGTCTCTTCTTTAAAAAAAAAAATCATTTACTATAATTCTAATAGAGTTTTCATGTCTGGTCTTGTTGTAATTTGATTCATTGCATCCAAGTAGGTGTGTGTATAACAATTATTTGTTATGTTTTTATATATCAAGGATATATTAGAAAAAAAAATTAAAAATCTTAAGAAAGATTAAATCGACCATACATCTTAATTAATTTTTCAATAATTTAATTTTTATATTTGTTTGTAAGTAATAACACCAAACATATTAATTATATGGTTTAAATGTTTAATGGTACCTAAATTGGATTTTCATTTGAAAGGTTGTGAGTTCGAACTTCAGTTGAGGCATTATTGGGTCTTAGCATTCAAAAAAAAAAAAAAGACAAACACCAAACATATTAATTTTTTTTTACCGAGGTATTCACATCAAATATATTTTCTTAAGAATTTAAATGATGCATTCTAAGAAACCGCTTCTTAAGAGTTTAAATGATGCATTCTAAGAAACCGCCGCCCCTTAAGGCCGCGCCGGCTGCCGTTGCCCTTGCAGCCTCGTTTCTCACATTTTTCTTCATCCTTCAATTCGCCGCGTGCATGTGTGCATGATGCAATATAATCATGAGCACGATGAAACAAACAACGACAATCCCTCTCACGTTAACAATCGAGCTTAATTATTTAATGTCCAAACTAATTAATAAAAGAATTAAAAACAACTGATTTGCAGCTAGCTACTTCCATCTGCAAATGTACGTTGCATTAGCTTCTTTTTATTCCCGTAGCTGTTGCGAGATCACAGATTGAGAAAGTATGTAACAGATACTACATTATAACAGAGGGAATAGTATTTAAAAATAATAATAATGACAATAAAGATTTGTGTTGATTAAAGAAATCAAACAAGAGACTTGAGCAAAATGGTGAGTATAGAATGGGGGTGAGTAGATGGAGTAAATTAGATATGGTAGCTTAAAACGGAAATCTTGGCTTGAGCACCACCTTGGATATAAAAGAAAGTGAGTTCTGAAGCAGGTTTGAGTGTTTTTAACCATTGGGGAAGCTGGTAGGTGTTGTTGAGGTGCTGGCACGGACTGAGCCCCCATATAGACCCAGAAAGGTTTTCAATCCTGAGTTTCAAGTCGGTGATTGGCTTGAAGGAGACGTTCTTGATCACAACCTTGTGCTTGTAATAGGTTTCCTTTCCCACCGTCCATGTAGAAGCGATGGAGTGCATTAACTTAACTACATCTTTGGTATCAGAAGCCTGCACCGGCGGGTTTGGCGATGGTGTAGGATGATAAGGGGCGGGCGGTGCTGGTGCTGGTGCTGGTGCAGGTGCAGAGAGAGAGTAGGAGTAGTGCAATTTGGAGAAGAGTCCAATGAGTGGTGCAGCGGCGGACAATGTTGGCTCAGTTTGTTCATAGTTGGAGCGATCATCTGTAAAGTCATCCTGGTTGGTTGGACCGCCGACAAGAGCACCGTATATGACATTAGGATTTGGTTGAGGGCGGCGGTACCATTTCTCGAACCCCTCCACGCATCCAACTGTGGAGCGGAGAACAGTGATGGGTGAAATGGAGGCACCTCTATGGTGAACGTGGGCGGGATAGTGATCGCCATATCCGACCAGGTAACTAATGGATTTTGGATTGTTACCCAGAATGTAGTCAGCCTGTGATTTAGCGAAGTTGAGAATGTGTTGAGGATAGAGTTGAGGGGCTTGAGGGCATTTTACAACAGCTTTAGCCTCAGATAGATATTGAGAGTAGACAGCGAGGAGAAATGCGGCAGAAGAAACGTATTGCATGTTGTTCCATTCACGAACATAGATGAGGCCAGCGGGAGTGAGGTCTACATTATTATTGTCATTACCATTCTTCTGCAGGCAAGCACAGGTGAAGTAGTCTGCTTTCGCCTGATATTGCTTCAGTACTGTTGCAGTTTCTTCGCTATGGAGCTCCAGCTGCTGCTGCATATGCAATGAAATCTTGGAGAGAAGGACTTGAACGCCCGCATATTTGTTGTCCCAAGAAAACTCCCTCACTGCCCATCCAGTTCCGCCCAATGACCCACCATTTTCGACTACATATTTAAGGTAGTAGTCGTCCTTTGTTGCACGATACAGCCAGGCCGCTGCCCATAGCAGTTCATCCTACATACATATATGCATGCATATATGAATTGAATTGAATTGAATTCTTCGATCTGATCTGATCTGATCTTCTCTTCTTCAAGTATATATATATATATATATATATATATATATATATATATATATATATATATATATATATATATATATATATGAACTAATTAACTAACTAAATAAATAACTAACCGAATAGCCAGAAGATGTGTAGAATTGAGTGGCACTTGGGATTGCATCATCATACAGTCCCCTGAATCTATCAGCAAACGAGAAAAGCTGTTTTGCATGGACTAAGAGGAGATAAGAGTAGGCAGAATCATAAGGTTGGAATGCTAGAGAAGCAGCAGCCATGGCAGCTGCAGTTTCGGCGGCTAGGTCCGATCCTGGATTCTTGGGATCAAGCTTGTATGCAGTCCTAGGGGTTGTCATATCTTCTGCACGCTCCCAACAATAGTGATCAGATTCCCCATCTCCCACCTACATTACATACATACCATTCTAGCTAATCAATATATATTAGTCAAAGCTAGCTAGCTACATATATACGTTCTCCATCATATATATATATATATATATATATATATATATATATATATAGGCCTGAGATAACGTATGTAGTTTGTATATTAATATTCCGTGGTCTAATGATGAATGCAGGTGGCCAAACCATTGAATTTATATTTATTCAATAAATGTAACATTATATTGCTGGTGGGGTGGGGAAGAAAGTGAATAATTAATATATATAATTAAATTAAAGCAGCTAGCTAGGGGTAGGGTACGTACCTGTGCCCAGAGAAGATTAGGTTGAGTGTGAGCTTTGATGAAGTAATCGGTAGCCCATTTAATGGCAGCCAAAGTATTGGACATCTGGTTGAGATGAACAGTCTCCTTTCTGAAGTCTACAGCTCCCCATGAAAGCATAGTCACAGCGAAGGCCATTGGCAGCCCAAACTTCACATGGTCTCCTGCATCGTAATATCCTCCCACCAAGTTCACCTACATGCATATATATGATGTATTAATTAATTTTGATCCAGCTGAGAGAGAATTGAAGGGAAAATAAAATTAATTAAATACCACATAAAATGAATTAACTTACTCCTTCACTAAAACCATCTTTGAGTCCAGAATGGGAGCGCCAGTTGACGCGTTGGTCGGGTGGCAATTTGCCGGACCTTTGGGCCTCCAAGAACAGCAAAGCCTTGTCTAAGCCATCACTGTAGTTGAAGCCGCCGCCGGCCTCCACACCCACAACACAAACTAACAACAACAATAATAATGCAACTCTCCCCATCACCATGTCTGATCTCATCTTTACTATTTTACTTCAATTTTGCTCTGCTCTGCTCTCTCGCCCGGATTATATATGTATTAAAACTGCTATACTATATATGAAGATGGATAGAATCGATGTTGCATGGTATTGGTATATATATATATATATATATATACACCACGCTTAGCTTAGCTACTTCTACAATTAATTAATTATTGTGGGAATTAAGATTAAAGGCTGGCCAGAGGCCAGAGGGTGGTAGTCACGTTACGTACGTTGGTGAACCAAACTTAACGTTGAGCTCCCCACGTTGTGCTGCCCGTTCGTTTCGTTTATGAATTAAAATATTATATTATTTATTTAATGGTTCTAGAATTTAATTTGGATGGGCCTCTAAGTTGGAGAACCAAGACCAACTCCTGGGCAAATTATGTTGTGGAACCGTGTCCATCTTGTAAAATGAACACGGTTTCAAAATTATTTGTAATTATGAATATATAATTTCAAAAATTATGAACATATAGTTCTATAATTATGAACATAAAATTGTGAACATAATTATGTTGTGGAATCGTGTCCATCTTGTAAAATGAACACGGTTTCAAAATTGTTCGTAATTATGAATATATAATTCAAAAATTATGAACATATAGTTCTATAATTATGAACATAAAATTGTGAACATAATTATGAATATATAGTCCTGTAATTATGAATATAGAGATTCAATAATTGTGAATATGAAGTTCAAAAATTATGAATATATAGCTTTATAATTATGATCATATAGTTCAGTAATTATTAACATAAAATCACGGTTCCATAGTATAACGATTGCAACTCCTGTTCGGGCTTCTTTTTTTCTTTTTTTTTTTTTTTTTTTTTAGTGCTACAAGGTAGTATTTGTTCTATACTTTCTCTATTTGTTGCAATTCAAAGAATCGATACCCCATCACCGGAGTTCAATTCTGTGACCATTTACTCAAGAAAAGCCACATAAGTGCTATCTGAGCATAAAGCATAAAATGAAGTATCAAGTACATGAGCAGCAATCCAATGCTTTTGAGCAAAAACACTCATCACAAATTACTTTAACTCCACCTTTTCAGCACCCTAAGCCCATGTTTGGTTCGCTGGAAAATGTTTTTTTTTTTTTTTTTAAATTTGAGACAAAACTGATTTTTCCTTTGTTTCGTTCATGGAAACATTTTCCTCAAGAATAAGGAAAACATTTTCCATGCACCCCACTCCCCCCCCCCCCCCCCCCCCCTCCCCGCGATATTTTGTATTCATGGAAAATGTTTTCAGTGAAAAACGAGTAGGACAATTCGTCATCACTAACATTTCTTAATTAACATTATTGATACCGTAAACACGGGTAAACCGACCAGTACGGTATTGAGTGTTGAGTATTCGAGCTCTGGATCCTCCGACAATGGGTCGGGAGTCTCCGGTCAAATAGTCTATGTGTCAAATCGTTCCAAAAGTCCCTCCTCACAGCAATAAACGTGATATTTATAGAGGACAGTAGGGGAGACGCTCTAGGCTTCCGGCATGAGGAGCATGTGGCTAACATGCACTGGGCCCAGTCATGTTATGAATTTATGTGTCTTGTTTTAACAAAACTTCGTGCTTATGAACACAAATATTATGAATTTATGTATCTTACGTTAGTAAAACTTCGTGCCTATATACACAAATTATGTGGTAAAAATATAATGTGTATGTATTTTACATTAAGATTTTCTATATCTTGTATTATGAAATTCTATACCTTACGAGTATAAATGCTATATCTTTTCAATCCATAATGCCAAGTTATGTCTTATATTATGATTTTTTGTGTTTTGTGTAATGAAATTTTGTACCTTACAATATAAATTCTATACCTCATTGACTCATTGTTTCAATCCATGGTACATAATGCTATGTGTAACTTAGTGCATGATATAAATTGCCTAATTTTACCCATATTGAAAAGGCACTACAAGCTTACACGCACAATAAACAAGAGATCCAAGTGCATTTGGTGCAGATACAAAATGAAAATATCTGTCTTTACTCTTTTATGTAAAGCACCAAACTCCGTGATTATAAAACCGGGTATGATGAGCTCCCATGTCTAAGATGATTCAACACAATGAATATAATCTTCTGCATCATCACCTAGTACTAATAAACAAAGTCATGGCATTATTTCCGTTGACCTCTTAGCAACTTCTGCAGATCAAGATGAACAGCATATCTCCACTAACCATGTGGCATTCTGCATAATAAATCAATGATATGAGCTCAGACCGGTCTTTTTTGGTGTGTCTAAGTGAATCAATGACAAACAATAAACTAACAAAGGCAGTGACTTAAGTATAAAATGATGGCAAACAATTAAGAACTAAGAACATTGCATATGTTGGCACTTCATTTAGTGCTAGAAGAAGAATGAGAAACATAAAGCATAAAAGGACTCATTCAAACTATTGAATCAGAAGGCAATGCATACAAATAAAATTAAATGAACTTACCTAACAAGAATATCAACTTCCTAAGGTCATTTATACTCGAAAGTAGGAGCGTTTGGAGCATCGAAACTTTCCAAAACCTTTGTCTTGCTCCCACTGTCTGAATCAGTCTCCTGCTTATTTCCACCACCAAAAAACCCTCCAAACCATGATGAAGATGATGAAGATGATGCAGAGGATCCAGCACCAATACCCTCCATACTTACTGGAGGCTGTCCAGGCAACTGACCAATTTGCTGACCAGGGAGTTGACCCATTGGATATCCAGGTGCACCAGCCATATTTGGTAAAGGTTCCTCCATTGGAGGTAGATTCTGTGGTACACTCATCATTTTATTCAACATTATTCCAGCTCCTTCAATCAATGCAAGTAATACACCACCAAATAAAGCTGATCTAGAAGCAGGACCTAAACCCTGGCGCATTGAAAGAAACCCACCAGTAGCTGCACCGGCAATAATTGAGTTCCATGGATCCTCTTTCTGCCGGACATAAACCATTGTACAGTCAAAGGTGGAAAACAGTCCACCCCACACAGCAAAACTACCACCAACACGAGGAGCGTTCATGCGCACTGCTTGAGTAGCACCAACCAGACGCTCACCTTTAGGAGAGTTATATATTCCTTTCAAGAAGTGGAAGGCTGCACCTCCTACAGCACCCATACCAAAAGCTCCACCAACATCATCAAGGATTCGGTCAGGGCAAGGTTCACGAGAGGTCTCAGGAGTCCCCATGAGAACAAAAAAATACTGTAGAAAAAAGCTACAGGCACAATAATCAAACTGCTTAAGAAAATAGGCCTATTTTCTAAGAAGAGGTTCACCAGACTATTGTCTCTGGCAGTAAATAGTATATCAGAGTGCAGAACTTCCACCTGCAAAACAAATTCCATAAATATTCAAAAGTTGCCAAACCAAAATCTGGTAATTAAAGGAAGAAATGACAAGGCTGTTTGATGAACTTCAAAGCACATAAAAATAAATAAATAATTGCAATCACTAAAATTAGGATTTAAAAACAAAAGGCAAAGGAATATAAGGCAACTATTTTGATCTAACAATTATGCACAAAATGACAAAATAGCCACCCCAAATATGATTTATCTAAGTGGTGCCTGCTCAATCACTTAGATGTGATAATTAACCCTCTCAATATATAACTATATATAATAATAATAATAATAATAATAATAATAATAATAATAATAAGAAGAATAATAAATAATAATAATAATAACTGGCCAGTTAAAACCAGCAGCTTTTAGCAAAACAATCTAATAGGAAATTTTCTTAGATGTTCTTTCTAGCTTAATTACAGAATTCTCCCATTTCTAATTGCAATAGGTACATAAATATCCTTTCTTTTCTAGATATTGTTTTTTTTTAAGTCAAAATTTTTGCTACTTCATTCTTAAGGTTAATGATATCAAATCTCCACTATCCTTTCTTTATCTTGTTTCAAGTCAAAATTTCACCATCCAATGCAGTTTTTTTTCTTTTTATTTTTAAATTAGGCAATTTCCCCAATCTTTTTCATATAATATGCTATATTCACTCCATCCCAAGTCAAATTTCTGAATATACTATATCATAAATGGGGGATTTTTTCATACACACTGCTTTAAGTGTCAAGTTGAGCATAGTGTATGTTGAGTGAACACTTCACATACATGTGAGGATTGCTCAAGCAGTCAAGCCATAGGTTCCAGATATCACATGTATTAAAAAATAAAAATAAGAGAAAGGAGCTTGCAGCTTGAAATCCTTGAATAATATCAAATGAAACTAACAAAATTCTTCAAAAACTGATTTACATTATTAAATTCAATCATTCCCCACAATGTATTACATACCACTTTGAGAGAGTGCAAAAATATTATTGCAATTATCTTTCTTAGTTTCTTCTTTCCAATTATATACTTATTTTCTCCCTTAGTTCCCACAATATCTCTTACATTTAACATCCTACAACATCTGGATTTTGGCCTAAGGATAAACTGCAGCACCACTTTTTTAAAGTGACTGACTTATTCAGCTCTATATTCACAACCATGTCTTCAAAAATTCAACCAAGCAACTAAAGGCTAAAGCTCCAATTTCCCCATGCAAAACAAAATTTTCTAAGATTAGCTACACATTCTACAGAGAACTAATAAACAAATCAAGCATCTCACAGTTAGAAACATCCTATGCCCAAAGATAGGACTTCGTTATTCAGCTCTGATTTTGGATAACCAGCTCATTCCGAGGCAATTGAAGAAATTAAAGATCTGTGTCTTTCTCTTTCTCGAACTAATCTGAATATAAGAAATAACTATATCGGGAGAAAAACAAAATCAAAATGTTCTGTCTCTTACTCGAACTAATCTGCGTAGAAGACATATCTATATCGGAAGAAGAAATCAAAATCTGAATAATCAATTCATAAAACCTGACAACGGAAATCGCATAGCAGAGTAATGGAAAAGCATTGAAGATCCAGACAAACAGAAAAGAGAGAGATATACGCATATTTTCAGGGAGAGATGGAGCGAGAGGATACCTGCCCAGAAGGTGAGAGCTGAAGAGGAAAACCTAGAGGCAGAGGAGATTCGTAATTTGTTATTTGTATGGTAAAACCCGTAGGACGGCCCATTTAGGTCGTTTTTAAGTCGGTAGCTCGATTCGCTACCCGGTTTCATTTAATAATCGTATAATATCATTGAATAATAATGCCTAAAAATTAGGACAAATAACTTTATTTATGAACCCGCTTTTATTTTGTGACAAAGGTGGAATCGTCCACCTTAAGCATTCTCATATCCCAATTTAACAATTTGTGGAGAAATAAATTATGATAACTCAGTTGATTAATAGAAGTTAAATTTTTGCTCATTATGTACAAAGAGCTCACATATTTTGAGAGGTTAGTCCTACATTACTCGTGGAACCCGTAAAGTGTATTAAATTATAAAAATTTATATTCATTTTAATCAACACTAATAGATATATTAGCTACAACCACGTTATATAACGCCTAATAAAGAATAAAGATGACAACTTCAACTAATTTGGTCATATTATTTGATAACTATAAGGTTACAAGTTCAACTACTTGTTTGGAAAGTAAGTTAAAGTTAATTTTACCTTTTATAGTTTTTTTATCGGTTAGTGTTCTCTTTTGTCAGTGGACACTGCTTCCAGAATTGGATGGGCTTACAGCTAAGTCTAAGTGAGATCATATTGGATACAATAAAGCGATAAACCAGGTTTCTATGATCTATGAATATTAATGGCTACTACTGCATACGTGGACTGTGGTTGAAGACAGTTGTAATATGCAGAGACAACTGTAATGAGTTAATGACAACATAAGATCAAAAACAAATGCTTATGCATCCTACACACAATACAGAATGACAACATAAGATCAAAAACAAATGCTTATGCACCCAACACACGTACAGAGAATCATTTTCCATAATTCTGCACAGCAGTGGCATAATTTTCTGTACTTTGCAGTAGTGTTATCTGATATTGTCTATCAACAATGATAACATCAAGATGATCATTCCCCAAATCAATCTGGTCTTGTTGAATTTCTCTTGCACAACTCTCTGCATCAGGGCAGCATTCATGTAGCTCCAACTTTTTCAGATTTGGAAATTCCCCAATGGCATAAGGTATGCTACTCAGCGCATAGCATTGCTTCAAAGCAAGGTGTTCCAGTTTTGGAAAGAGACAACTATCGGTTTCCCATTCCACTAAATCTGTAAGCCCTAGTAGTAGGAACCTGAGTTGCCTGAATTCATGACCGTCAACAAGTTCCCACTTTCGTCCGGTAAAGGCATAGCTGGTGAGTTTTAGCACCTCAAGATTGGGTAGCTCACCAAGAAGCCTAAAATGTTCCCATGGAAGACGGCTGAAGCTCAAACTTAACTTCTTGAGAGTTGTTGGAAAAGCTTTTAGATGGTGTAACAATGGTGGCTCTCCAGTGAATGATTGGCTTGAGCAGACCAGTTTCAGTCTCTCAAGCTGACGCAAGTGAACAAAATTGTTGAAACACTCAGACCAGAGACTCTCAGTTTGGTTACAATTCTGGGAGGCTGAACTTTGAAATGTTTCAGGCCAGAGGCTCTCGGTCTCATAAAATTTCTGCGAGGCTGAACTTTGAAATGTTTCAGGCCAGTGGCTCTGTGTTGGGGAACTCAAAGTGTCGACTATTTCAGAAATGGCCAGTTTTTTTAGATTTGAAGTGGAAGAAAAAACGTCCTTGGTGCAACTGGAAAGGCTTATTTTAGAAAGTGTTTGCAAATTTGGTAAATGTGAGGACTTAGATGTAGGCTGGGGAAGAGAAACCCAAGTATTAACATGAAGATGCCTAAGCTGTTGTAACTTCCAAATTTCTGGCGGTAAAGCTGGTCCATCAGATTCAAAACAAAGAACCAAACATTGTAGGCTCCAAAGATTGGATATTGATGCTGGAATTTCAGTATCACAAGGGGTTAGTGCAAGGTACCTGAGGTTGATGAGGTGTACTATCTCATCTGGAAAACTAATATGATGCAATGACATGATGTCTAGCACTCTCAGCAACTTGAAATTCATACTGGGAAGGAAGGAACCAGCTGAAACCTTGAAGGCAAGAAAGGAACGGGAAAGTGAAACAACATGATCAGAAGAAGGTTTTGTGGAAATGTTTTGACAGTGGGAACTAACACGACGTTGAGTAAGTATATCTTGAGGAGCAATTTCTAGATGCTGTTCCACAAGCACGTGAAGAAAGTTGTCTTTTTGAGACTCTTTGAGACACAAATCACGCAGGACATCATGGATGCGACAAGTCTTGATTCTTCCATTGATTATCCTTCCAACCATAACCAAACTCCTTTGAATAAGATCCTCCAAGCAGTCCTCTGCTACCTCTTCCAAGCTCTTTTCTTTTGAGCCCTTGAGAAACCCCTCCGCCATCCACAACCTAATCAGCCGCCTCAAAGGAATCTCAGAGTCTTCTGCAAAGGCTCCCAAATAGAGAAAGCAAGGTTTCAAATGTTGAGGCAAGTGTTTGTAACTCAAAGCAAGTACATCCAAGCACTGCTTCGGGTCTTCACTCAAAATTTGGCCTATGTTTCTGGCAACGCTCTCCCATCCTTGTATTGTCTTGCTGATCTTAGAGAGGTGCCCTGCAACTACAACAATTGCTAGTGGTAAGCCTCGGCATTTTTCTGCAATGTCCTTCCCTATACTCACCAGTTCATCAGGACATCTTCCTTTTCCAAATACTTTCTTGCAAAGCAGTTTCCAACTTTCATCTTTGTCAAACAAATTCAACAGGTGGGGTTGGCTCTGAGGGTTAACATAAGCTCCTATCTCAGTATATCTACTAGTTAAGATAATGCGACTTTGGTTTTTATCATCCGGAAATGATCTAAACACAGCATCCCAGGCATCAGGGCTCCATACATCATCTATAACAATCAGATATCTCATACCTTTCAATTGCTGATACAGTTTAAAAGCTAAGTCTCCATTGCTAATTCTGTAAAGCGACTCGGATGGAGGCATGAAGGAAAATAAAAGGTGAAGCAGCATACCTCTCACATTATGCTGTTGAGATGCTGTAGTCCATGCCCTGCAATCAAAATGATCCTTGAGCAGAGGTTCATTATAAGCTCTTCTAGCAAGGGTGGTTTTACCAACTCCACCCATGCCAATAATGGCGACCACATCAAGATTAGACTTCTTGTGGCCAGTTAGCCTATCCATGATTCTTTTCCATTCCTGGTTGAAGCCCACTAAGTTACTAGCATCCAGATCTGGAATGGATAGTCCATTACTGATCAAAGAAACCGGTACGGAGGAGTTGTGATTGATTCCGTTGCCATTGGTTTGACCTTGGGAAATCTTGTTCAAAATATCATCTTTGGTGGATTCCATCTCTTTTATCACTAGTTGTAGCATCCGGCAAAGATCTTCACAAGCTTTATTCTGCTCTTCTCCAGTTATTGATTGATGAAATTCCCTTACTTTGGAGTCAACGATATCTTCTGCTCTGTATGCTGCATCTCTGATGATTGATTCCATTTCCTGGTGGACTACTTTGAGCTTTTGGATATTCCTTCCTCCCATGGCCCTGGACTCCAGAAATTCCTGCAAGGAATACATCCTTTTATGCAGGGACTTGATCTCTTCTAGGAACAGATTCGGACTATAATTCAAGAACTGATCCAGGGTGTTCAAGATGGAAGTCACGGCAGCATAAGCCATATCTGTCTGTCTTGCTCAGCTCGGCTGTGACTTTTCACACTTGCAATTGGCTTCTACTTCTCTCTCATGAATTTAATTTGAAGGTATCTTCCACCTACCTAACCCTCACACTCTCTCAGTCTGCCCACAGCCACAGATATGAATATACTACGGACGCAGGGAGTGTATATATATAATAAAAACTCCCTTAATTCTACTCTACAAGCTATTTTTTCTATCAAGATCAAGATTATGTGTCACATAACATTTTCCTATATAATTAATACAATACGGAATAATAAAAAGCAATTATGTGGAATGAAGTGAACAGTGTTGTGAGTTTTTTGTCCCCATTTAATTCGGGTATGATTACTTTTTTATCATACAAAGTCCAAATTTCTTATTAGTTAATTTTTGAAGTTGGGAGTAAATTTCTATCGGGATATTAGGATCAGGGTTTGTGCAGCTAGCTTCAGGTAACACGGGTCAAATGTGAGGCAGGGATGGTCAAACTACAAAAGCTCAAATAATTTAATTTATTTAGTTTTGTTTTTGGATGAAATGAAATGAGGAGAGGCGTTCGAGTGAATGGTGGAGATTGCTGTTATCAGGAGGAGGATGATGATCGCTCCACACAAGTGTCTGTGCCATCTTCTTCAGCCTTGCGCTTTCCGGCAGCTAGTTTCGCCATCGCCGCTGTGGGTGACGCAAGTGCCGGTGCCGGTGCCGGTGGGATGAATTATATCGAGCACCCTGTATCTAAGATGGATACCCTTGCCGGTGTAGCTATCAGATATGGCGTTGAGGTGATGAAAAACAACAACATTTTTTTTATTCTCATTTTCTGATTCATTTATTTATGTTGCCAGTATTAGCCTGGTGGGTTGGTATTTGATTTTTCTACCTTCTCCTAAAAGATTTGTGGAAATTGGATATATTGTCTAATCAAAGACCTTCTGTTTTTTGTTTTTTTTTTTTGGTATTGAATTGAATGTGGTGCTAAGAACGACAAGTGATTTGGATAGATAGATAGATTCTTATATAGAACCTGAGAATTTAGAACTCGGGCACTTCAGAGAGTAAATGTTAAACTTGGCGACCTCAAAAAAAAAAAAAAAATACTCCGTAGTATTCTTGTTTTAATGTTGTCTTTTGGGTTTTGAAGAAAACATTTTAATGTCTTGTGAATCATTGCCGTCCATTCCCAGTACATTTCCTCTTCCAGTTTCAATATATATTTAAAAAAAAAATGAAAAATTGCTTTGAATGACGGATCATTCTTTAGATATATTTGACAGGTGAGTGATATTAAGCGAATAAATGGGCTGGTTTCTGATTTTCAAATGTTCGCCCTAAAGACACTTCAGATTCCTTTACCAGGAAGACATCCACCATCTCCCACCATGGCAGAAGGTTTTGATTCACATGGGTATTGTTCTTGCTTTACTTTTAGAATTTATTTATTTATATACACAAGTGATTGAAACTTTCTCCAGCAATTTGCAGTTTACAAGGTTACTATGGTATAAAATCGGGAGATGAAGAAGGGTCGCCCTTGAAAGGTTTGGAACATGGGGAGGGAGGAGGATCTCATCATTCTGTAGCTGTAGAGAGTGACAAGCTGTTCCTGTATAGCAAATCCTCAAACCCACCTCTAAACCCCCGCAGGAAATGCAGAAGCGTAGTTTTTATGAATGTGGAGGAGGATGAAGCATTCACTCCCCAAGAATCGGAATCAAAATCAATATATAATAGTGACTCCTCAGACAGCAGCAGGGGTGAAAATTTCATGAGGAGACGTCAGAAGTCTGAGTCTGACTTCTTGCGCATCCCAGAAATGTTGCTCAAGCAAGACGAGTGCAGCAGTGGCAGATTCTCAGCTGTTGGAACCACCAAAGGCCTGGCTTTGAGACCTAAGGCGGCGGCAGCAGCAGCTAGTCGAACCATTGCCGTTGCCGAGCCTCCTCCTATTGCTATTGAGTCGGGCAATTCAGTTTGTGCCAACAATCTCAATCTCACCAGAGTTAGGAGGTCATCCAGCACATCAAATTTGAAATATTCAGATACTAGCACGTTTACATCCTTGTGGCCAATTACAAAACCAATCTTTGATGGCCTACCTATACCAATAACCGGTCGAAGCAACAAGGCTGCACTGGATTAGTTCCTCCCCATATATATCTTACTTCATGTAGCGGTTTCTTTGGGAATAAAAATAAAAATACATTTTTAGCTCTGGTAGAGGCAGAATGTTAACATCTCCCATATACACACACATTCTTTATTCATGCTTCTTAAAATTCTTTGTTGTGTCAAATATTCAATTGGACCCCAATATAAATTACATAAAAACAACATTATAGTACCATAGACAGCTCGTACAACTTTTGCATTTGAAAATGATGTAAATCAAGACACTTGTTTAGTTCATATGTGCTCCTCCAACTCACAGCAGTTAATTATGCACAATTTTTGTAAACATTAATTTGCACATTCACATTATGATACTCAAACTCAAATCAATGCTTTAATTTCCAATACCACTTGTACAAGATACCATAATATTTCATGGCATGTCAAACAAATATCTTCCTGCCTACAACATTGCAATAGCAGTGATTTACAATTTAAATAAATAAATAACAAATAGTTTGTAACAAGGACTGCCAGAGAAGGAGAAATCCATGTGTATACTAGTTCTAAAAATGAGCTTCTAAAAAATCCATCATAATTAGTCGCTAAGAATACCAGATTGATTATTTATTTATTTCGATAAGTAATGGGTCAATATTACACCAGAAATTTTCAGAAAACATGCATTTTAAGTTTTTAACAATATTTCATTCTTCCACATACTTTATTACAAACATATCAAGACTAAAACCAAACAACTATATGAGAACCATTTTCACACTCATCTAGAAACATTCAAAACAACAAATCAGAGTATCAGCTCTAGAGGAACAGTTTTGAATCATAAGACAGACAACAATACACCCTATTCGAACAATAATAAGAACAAAACTGGAATTAATTCAATGATAAATACACCATCAAAATTCATCTGTACACTTAAACTAAGAATCCTTCTACAGTTCTAAATGCCTATGATTGCTAGCATATGAACCGTAAAAGTGTTTGCATGTAAACTATGACTATTTGATCAAAGGAAAAAAAAAAAAAAAAAATAGTGGGGAACTGTTACAGCTCAGGGATCTGTAATTACATAATTACCTCAAAATTTTGAAGCAGAATAATCTACCAGGGCATACATCTTATTTGACAATCACCAACCAGTAAATCAGTTGCAGTTGAGGTTAGAACATTCTCCAATGCCTGTAGTCCTGGAAGAATGGCAAATAGTTATTAATATAAAAACATGGAATTTTGAAATACTAATTCCAAAAGGTAGCTACGTTTATGATGGTTAATTATGATGAATATTGCACCAAGTTAATTATGGATGGCTTACAGAAGTCAAAAACTATGAATCCTTGATCCTTATTTTAATTATGTAATTAAATAAGCTTTGTCAACCATACATGTTGTATAGCACCTAATTGAAATAACAGCTCCCAATAATCTTTTCTCTAAAATCAATCTGACAGTATAAGATTTAAAACCTCTAATTTAAAACTAGCTCCTGCTGTAGCACTTAGTACATAACACAGAGTACTTTCTTTACAAAATAATACATTATTGAAATTCATTGAAAGAAACTTATGATAATATAGAGATGCCTTTTGTACACATTATACACTTCTAAGTACATTTTACAAACTAACTAGCCAGCAAGTGTTTATTGGTCTACTCTGATTCCCCTATTCACATCTCAATCTTAAATTCCTACAATTTCCAGGAGAAAAGACAAAGAAAACACTTTGCAACCAGGAGGAGAGCAAGTGGAAGAAGAGGTATGGAGACTAAAAAGTGGACAGGTAAGTTATGGCATATTTCCAAAAAAAAAAACATGCATATCATCAGTTTCTACTATGATAATATAAACCGAAATGGTTCTACTCTTTTGGCTAAACAAACAACCACCTTAGCTTCTGATGCTTCTTACAAAGCATTAAGATAGGGATAACATTTACAAACAAAATATAGTTCTATATCATGTTCTCCATATCACTCTTTCAGCAAGAATACTAAGAAAAACGTGCATACAACAAAAGGTGATGAATAAATGGCAATCTCATGGGGATGTATTTGATTGTAAACTCAATCTGTCATTTACGCTTACAAGTGCACACACATATATAAGAAATTCAATGTCTAGGGTAGTTTGGTTGGAGGAGATTGTGAGTTGCAATCACCCCCTTATCCCACCGAGTTCATAATTTGGTTGCGGCCCAGCATCAACAAACTCTCAAATTTATCCCAACTGGTGTACAACCTCACTCATCCCTACAGCTAACTCACTCCCACCCAAATGTTCTATTAGTTATCTCATCTGGCTCTTGAAATATCCCATGACATAAAAAGAGGATCCTCTGGTTAAGGAAAAAGTAGATGTAGTTCTAACTGAAAAGTTATAATATAATTGATTCTAAAATGGATGAATTAACTATGTACTTACAAGGGTATATATTGATTAAATATAATTGTATTCAGACACAGAGCACTACTACTGTGAAACAATTCGGAATGTAATACCTAGGGTATGCAAAGTAAACCAATCCTACTGCTACAAGTTAAAAAATAAAAACATGTTCATCCCAAATGCAACTGCAAAATAAAACTAATACTACAGCACTTGGGAATATAACTGCTGAATTCTAGTGTGACTATGTTTCATCTCTTCATGGCCTACATCAGGCTTACACTTTTTAAAGTAAAATCTGCGAGGTGCATCTCACATTTCTCAGGAAAAGTTACAATAAACAAAATCTTGGTAAGTCACCCTCAACTTCAGAACAGTTTGCCATCTGATTTTCGTTTAGAGGTCAACCCTTTCTCCTATTTGAGTTCCCCATCAGAGCCTGAACACAGAGGAAAGGTACACCTTATCCCCGCAATTAACATGATGTGACATACAATTAAAAAATAATGCATGCACCCATTTCTTAAAATAATAAAGAAAATGGAAAACACATGCACAAAATAAACAAATAAAAATAAATAAATAAAATGTGGTACTTCAATTTCAAAGTCAGACATTAAAGTCATAAAAAGCAAAGACTTACCAAAAGTCCAAAATCCATTAGAATTCAAGATTTCTTAAGCTGGTCTCCAATTGAGAGCAGTCACATCTGGCCTACAAGGCATCCCATGACCTGAAAAAGCCATAACAAAGTTACAATTTCTGCAAAGCAGAAAGGTTTGGGCACGAGCTCATATACTTCTATGATATAGAAGTAGCATACCCAAAAGAAATATCACCTGAAATTGGGCCACCAGTTGGAAGAGCATTTGGTGCAGGTGGCTGAAACCCAATATTGTTCATAGGTGGCCTATCATGAGGTCTCAAATAACCTGCCACCATCAACACCACTAGAAATCAAAACCATGGGTCACAAACCACCACCCAGGAGTGCATAACAACCAACTCTAGCTTCTTATACAAAACCTAATCAATATTTAACTAGAACTTTTACCATTATTATTCATGATCAGATGCATCATATAATACTCCATTGGCAATTTCACATGTGTAGAATGCAAAATGTGACCGTACAAATTTTAGTGAAAATACAGGAAAAAGCTTTTAGAGGAAACACCTGTCTTAGAAATTGAGGTTGGGGTAAGGCAAGAATTCAAAGGAAAATGGAATAGGTGAATAAAAGGCATACAAAATTTGAGCAGACCTTCAGGTAACCATTTGGGAGACTTTCCAAAAAGATATGCAGCAATATTGTGGACCCTTCTAAAAAGATTTATTTATTTTTTAGCTTATTGTCATTGTTATTCCATTTATTTTGTTTTTGAAGATGTCTTGCCCCATGAATGATTTGTATAAATGGTAGAAGTTATGGATAATAGTAACTACATTAGATAAACAGTGTTCAATAATGCCTCAACAGTCCATCAACTGTAATGTAAATATCATGTCAGAACCAGATGAAGGAGCATGAACCTTCAGGAGGAAAGGTTGGGCCAGCAGATGATCTTCCTCCTCCCATCCACATGCCACGTTGATCAGCACTAAATTCATTTGACTGCACCCTCCATTGTTCATCACCCACATATCGCCTTTGCCCATCAGGGCGATTTGGCAATGCATACGGCGGTGGTCCTGGTGGATATGGATGCTGAGATTGTTGCTGCACTGCTGGCCTTGGATATGAAAAATTATTGGATGGGATTTGAGGTGGGGGATTAGGATGCATAGGCATTTGGGAAAAGGGTGCATTAGTGGGTTGAAATTGTTGGCTGGATTGTGGAGGCTGAAGGTTTAAATATGCATCATTATGGTTATAATCTAAAGGTCTGGAATTATATCCAGAAGGTTCACGCGAGTTACAGACACCTACAGGAACAAAGCGAGGTTGTGGTTGTGGTGGAGGAGGCCCATGAGGAGCATTTACAGACATCTGGGGTAATCGATGTCCCTGAAAAAGAAGACCATGAAAACCATTGGAAATCCTCAAATAAATAGAATAAGATAAAATAAATAAATAAATAAATATCCCACAGGAAGAAGTCTTACATTTGGCATGCTACCAACTTCATGTGGAGCCAGAGGTTGCTGATATCCAACCATGGGTGAAGAAGATGGTATTGATGATGCAACTGCCAAATGTTGCAATGGCATTGAGGGTTGAGGTGGCAAAGAAGGTTGAGTAAATAAGAGGGGAGGTGGTCCGGCAGGCATTGACGGAAAGGGGTGTGGCTGTGTGGGGGGTGGTGGGGGTAGTGAAGGAGGAGGTGGTGTTGGAGGTGGAGGTGGCAAAGGAGACGATGGAGGTGGCGGCGGGGGTGTAGGTGGAGGAGGTGAAGAAGGCAAAGGTGGGGTCTCTGGAGGCGAACCAAGTGGCAAAGGCGGAGACCACCCCTCAGGTGGAGGCAATTCAAAGGGACTGTTTGAAGCAGCTTCCGGGACTCTATCAGAACCAGACTGGTTTGAAGCACTTCGGTGAGGAACATCAGTAAACAATGGACTTTCATCTTTCTGGTGTCCAGACACATCTTCCATTTCAAGCTCACCATCGACATCCTCCAATATGCGGCTGCGCCTATCTTTTGGAGTGACTGTATATTGTTCAGTATTGTCTCCTGTGGCAGGAGTACCATCCACTGGTGATACCTCACTATCTTCTTGGTGAGGATTGTTTAGAATTTCTTCCTCTTCCTCCTCCTCCTCAAACACATTAGAAGATAGAAAGCCAGGTAACTGAAATGTTGCGTTACTGAAAAGAAATAAACAAATAGAAAACACAGTATATCATTAGAGTGAATATATCAACAACCAAAAACCATGTGAAGAAAGGCAAAACAAAGCCATTGAATTTGGCACCGAATGCAAAATTGAAGGGTAAAACTTCAGTCTATGAAACATGAAATATAAAATGATACAGTATAGGGCATAGTCAGCACTTTAGTTTCTGAACTAAAAGTTATACATACCTCCCGTACTCATCAACAAGCATGCCTTCCATTTCTCTAATTGGATCATCTAAAGCACGCTCAGCTCGAGAAGGCCTTCTAAAGGAGTGCCCACCAGCAGTAACATCATCATTTGCAGTACCAATTTCGTCAATATGGCGACGAAGTAGAGATTCTGGTAAGATTTTCCTCTCAAGCCACAATCGCAAGACCTGGATAGAGAATGTTGAGCCAGCACTTAGAGGATTACATTACTCAAGAAAAAGCAGAGGAAACTCAGAATATCTTGAAAAACTTCACACATTCATATAGAGGTACCTTAAGACACTGTCGACGATTTTCTCGAGCCCCTGCTCCCTGCGGAGCAGCAGCCCCCAAAAGTCGTGATAATGCTTCTTGAACAGCAGGAATATATGATGCACTTGCAATGCCTAAAGACACGTAACAAAAAGTAAATCAAGATAAAAGTTTTGTACAATATCTATGAAAAATTACATCTGGTAATTAAACGTAATATCAAAGGCAGATACTATACTTGTTATTCCATCAAGTGGGACCAGTAGCTAAATGCATCACCAAAATAAACTAATAATAAGAAAAGTGAGCTCCATTAGCGTAGATGAGAGCTGCAGTCTCATCCATCCTGTCTAGATCTGGAATCAATAACTATGGACTCTTCCTAGTTCCTATCAGTCCCACACAAAACTGTTGCACTAGAACTCAGGATTTTCATGAACATTGTTGTAAAAATCAGCCTATGCAGCTAGGTCTGGAATCTCCATCCTGTCTAGATCTGGAATCAATAACTATGGACTCTTCCTAGTTCCTATCAGTCCCACACAAAACTGTTGCACTAGAACTCAGGATTTTCATGAACATTGTTGTAAAAATCAGCCTATGCAGCTAGGCGCCCCTAGGCCAAAGGGAAGAATGGGAAAGTCACTATATTATGCTCTTGGCCAACTAGCCTCCCTAGTCAGCCAACTTTTTTTTCGTTTGTTTCGCTATGTGCGTGTTTGTATTACTGTATTTACTACTTTGATGGATTGTATGTGTTATGGTAGGGATTATTATGTGTTTCTAGAGTACTATATGCTATTGAACATTTGTATTTTATGGAAGGAATACATGCTAGAAGCCTGGAAGTCCAAACAAACCAGATTTTTTTTTTAGTTAGGCACTCATCAAACATCCAATGAGTGCCTAGCAATTTCTACAACACTGTACATGACATCGTCAGAAATCCTATTGTTTATTTTATTTTATTTCCTCTTATCTTATCTCAGTATGCAGGCAGATCTATTATTCTTAGGCACAGCATTCTCACCCGTCAAAAATTTTTCTCCTGTCTTCTATTAAATAAAAAAAAATAAAAAAATATTAAAAAAAAAAAAAAACCATGACACTACGCATCAAACACACTCAAGTCCATCCCTAAGCAACCAAGAGACTATAGAAGGAAATACCCTTGTAAAAAAAAAAAAAAAAAAAAAAACTCATACAAACAAAGTCATCTGATGGGGAAGAGAATTAAAATAAAAATAAGGTTGACAATTAGTAATGTGATTTGAGTTATCATTACCTTTATGACTATGAGAACATTGAGTTATTGAATCCACAAGGAAAAATAAATCCACTCTGCGATGATAGCTAGGTTCATTTTCCAATTTGTGGATGAGAAGTTCCACAACCTGCACAAAAGTGAGGATGTAGTTCAGTTCTGCATTAAATCTCTATATAACCTGCAGATTGATTAAAGTTCTCTGCAATCCAATAAAACAACCAAAGCACAGAAACTCTTTACATACCAAATGGAATAATTCAACCCACCTCAAGAAAAGAAAAAGAAAAACATCCATAAGCGCATGTAAGAAACAAAGAAAAATAAAATTACATAACAACTAATTGGGGGGGGGGGGGGGGGGGAGGGGGGTGGAGGATGTCAAATGCTATGAGAGTCTGCTTGAATTTCTAAGTCTGCTTATACCACCTATTCTTTTTCTGTCCTTCTCTTTTGGAAGGCAGAAACCAGCAACAATTAAACATTCATAAATTCCAATACTAAAGCATACTAGTTTTGTTTAAAAACAATAACACTCCATGCAGTTTGCATGTCATTATCCTGTGCAGAAGAAAATATGATCATGTCAAAGCAAGCAAACCATAGCCAGAACTAAAGAAAGCCATAGTTCATATCCAGTAGGCCAGAGGAAGGGCGAGAGATCTGATAGCTACCTCATTAGCAATCCCATACTTTGCACAGTCAATTGCAAGTCGTGTTGCACGCCCTATGCTCTCTTTGGTCCTAGACAAAGTTTCTATCATTCCCTCAAAGGCATCACGGGCCACAGCTGCCTCAGTGCCACCACTAAGTGAGCCACCGGTGGTCCAGTGTTCTGAACTCACTCTCCTTTCTTCGTGTTCTTCACACTCAGGTGGATCAATTGATGTAAATTGACGAACCTCTGAGGATGGAGATGCACGAGGACAGAGTCCTTGTGCATCAGAATGCAGAGTCTTGCCATGAACAGAGGCATGAGAGGGAAGGCCAGGGTTTGGACTCCCACCTTGAATATCAACATAGGTGGCAAAAACAGGATGTAAATTCCCATGAGCATTCAGTAAGTGAGCTTGCCTCTTTTTAGCCTGAGCAGCTGCTATAAGCTCCTTCATCGACATATCAGGGTCCAACACTTTCAAATCAGTCAAAGAAAGTGGTCGATCATCTCTACCTGCTTCCACCCTAGTCATTATTGCAATGACAGAAGATCAGTCCAAAACGAACTTGCTATAAATATCAAATGTTAGAGAACCAAACATCATGATACCTTTCAGAAGGAACCGAAACGGTTTCCATTGGATGTCCTGCTGAAAAAGCATGATCATTTATCCGAGAAGTTGACTTAGGGGTTGCTTTTTTCCTTTCTCCGGAAGAATCTGTCTTGCCTCTTTCACTATTAGGTTGATCCAGAGAAGACTTCAGGTTATCGGAAGCAGCAACAAGGGCTGGAATAGAGCTAGCTACCACTTTACCTTGTGGAACATCATCTAATACTTTATCAGATTGTTTACTTGGTTTCTGGGGCTCCGAGATCGGCCTGGGAACTGTGACAACCACAGGGGACCTCTTAGGGGAACCAAGAATTGGTTTAATATCTCTTGAAGGTACTTTTTCAGGTTCTGGTTTCCCAGGACTACAGGAAAGGTTCGGAGTGGTTACAATTCTGGCCCTTTTCTCTAATAACTTTTGAGAATTATGAAAAGAAGTGTCATCATTTGGTTTGATAGATGATTTCAATTCCTTTGAAGAACCACTCTGACCTCTTCCTGAGGCACGCATACCCTGCTGAGCAGGTATAGGGGTGACATTAGGTGCATCAGATTTTTTCAAAGAATCTGTGATGTGTGACAGATTAGTATCCTTTTTAATAGATCCCCCATGAACAGGAGTTTTGGGCTCCTCATTATCATCATCATCACAAAGCCGAACAGCTCTCCGTTTTGTTGTCTGTTGAGGAATAGGTGAGGAACTGGGCATAGCCTCCAATGCACGTCGACTGCGTTTCGATGGGGGAGGAACATCCTCCTCCCCTGGAACATTTGAACCAGCAACATCTGCCTGTGCTTTCAGTGTTGCGCGGTTCTCCACTTTCCCCACTGGCTTTGATCCTTTAACCTCTGAATTACCCAATTTAACATCAACACCAGAATTCCGACTATCTTTATTCCTGCTAGCTTGGACTACCTTGTTTACATCAGCAGCCCCATCTGCACATTTTGACCTTTTGAAAGGTTGCACTCCTTCAGTGCCATGTGAAGTTTTCCGTATACATCCAGGTTCAATTTTGGGTTTCCCGCTAGAACTCTCAAGCTTGTTATCCTCCTCAATTTCATTTTCAGAATCAGATATTTCAAGATGTCTTTTATCTCTGCGCAACTTTTTTGCTTTCTTTTTACCATTAGCTTCTGACTTCAAATCCAAGGATGGCTTCTTTTTACTTTCACCAGACACAACATCACTTTTCAAACCAACTATAATAGGCTCTGCAGAAGCATCACCAGCCAAGGTAGTAACATTTTGCACTTCTTCTCCACCCTCCAGTTTCCTCTTTGATAATTTTACTTTCTGTCCATTTGCTAGTTGCTTACGTCCAGTACCAGGATGCACAGAGTGATCCCCAGAAGTAAGTTTATCTTGAATAGTTTTATTTTGAGGGCTTTCCTCACCTACAGAATGGCATCCTTGAGAAGATGCTGATGTCAATTCCTTCACTGAGTTAGTACTATTGGAAATTTTACTTCCCTTTTTAGATGAAATAGTTGGAGAGACGTTGGCAGAATCTAAAACAAGTGGCTTGCAACTTTGATTATCTTGCTCAGTTTTAACCTTTGAGCAGCGTTCCAAACCAGACCCCTCACCCAGACTTTCAGAATCCATTTCTTGCTCGGTTTCACCATATTCAGTCCTATCTGTTTGTTCTACCTTTACTGAACCATCTACAGCATCAGTGACTGGAGCTTCATTATTTTTGTCATATCCCAAAGGACAAGAATTTTTCTGCTGCAACTCTTCAAATTCAGCACAAATATCCTTTACTGCTTGCGCAAAATATCCTTTCCCCTGGCATCGAGCTGACAACTTGTTCTTCGCTTCACTTGTAAACGCCTGAATATCTGCTGGGGTAACAAAAGCTCTGAACAAACCACAACAAGATCATCATTTCTTCAATCCCACAAATGATAGGTTATAATTATACATCTAATTTTCAACAGCAGACAAAAGAATTGAGTTAACTACTATATTGCTTATACATTCATGAATATTAAAAGTGTCATGATTAACTCTTGTATACAAATATAATTCCATAAATAACCATTCCAATTAAGAAATCCACATAGAAACTTTTAAAACAAGTTAAAATTCGCATGCTCTACTAAAAAGATGGAATCATGGAAATATTGAAATTGTGCAGCTCCAATGTAGCCGGCTCACTAGTCATTGGTAGAACAACTGGAAAGACACTAAAGGACCCCATTTAAATATTGAAACGGCACTTATGACTTATCAGCTGCACTATAAATCCAAGGCGTTGGTAAGTCTAATAAAATAGCATAACCAGCCACTGTTACTCTCCAAACTCAAAGGCATAAAAAACACATGATTAGAGCCTAGCACAGGCATGTCCAATAAAAAGAGCATAAATATCTTCTGAACTCTTCAAACTAAAGGACATAAAGTACGTAGAATCAGATGCTATGTAGGCTAGTATTGTTTTAAGTGACTGATGTCTCCTTTTGTTCATTTGTGTACATAATCATTCACTAAGAAACCTCAAATCTGTTTTCACATTTCATAGACATTATATCAACCCAAAAACTCTCTGAACTTGAGAAACATGATGGGAGCACCTCTATATGCTAGTATCAGTGCATTATGACTATGATTTCTCCTTTGATTGAGATTATGTATATACTCATTTAGTAAGAAATCCTAATCTGTTTTTACATTACATAAGAGCTTTATATCTATCCCACACCCCTTGTACTGTTAAACAAACACACGTTTCTCTGGAAGTCTAAATCAACCGAGAAAAAGGACCAACAACAAGAGCAGAAGACCATCATACTTGGTCTTCCTCTTCAGTCTTCAGTTGAACTTAGGATCCTAAAAGAAAAACATACATTTGCATTGAACTGAAAAAGTGACAGATCATGTTTTGTACATAAATACATTTTCTATTTCCAAGAAGTGATATAAAAATAAGATTCTCCTCAAAGAGTTTAATTAATGAATGGAGGCAAAATACTATAAGATAGATAATAGCTAATTACACATTGAAATGCTAAACTAGAACAAAGTTACTCTAAAGGGTACAAAACACAGATTTAACGCCTTTTAGCACGCTCCAGCAGGCAAATAATCAGCATTTCTACAAATAGAAGAAAAATATAGATTCACAACAAAACCACCTTGCATACTACACAATAATTTATCGTACTTGTATTTTTTGGAGAAAACAATATGTACTTCCTTTTTCCATTAGATTTCACCCCGAAAACAAAAAGCATGACAGGACAGAACAAAACAAAAAATGCAAGCTCAGTAGCACCATATATACATCTATAGTATTCACCATTGCACAATGCATACCCTCAAAAAGAAAAGCTGAATTCAAAAAATGCCAAGTCTGTCAAAAGTAGATATTGCTTCTCATCTTCCCAATCAAAAGGAACTAAAAAAACAAAAAACAAAAAAAAAAAACAAAAAAAAAAAAAAAAAAACAAAACAAACAAACAAACAAAACAAAAGAACACAAACACTAATATTAAGACTAGCCAATATGAACTGCAACCTCAAACAGAAACACCTGCAGCACACCAACAATCATGAAAAATTAGAGCATTAGATGCACTCACATTTCTCCTGTACCGAAGAACTGCACAAAATACTTTTTAGGATCAGGAGGTTTATCCCATTCCTCAGGTCTACTAATCTGGAAATTTCAAATAAAAAAAGACAATATGCATTAATTATCTCGGATGAACATCAAAAGGAGTACAAGGCAACAAAGCACTGTGGGCACCAAGAGACTGAGAAATATTCATTTCCAGTGTCCTTAATATCAAAACAAAAACCCAAAGTTTAAAAAGGTACGAAAATAACACTGAACATGTCTGTCATTGAGTCAGAATTACACATCAAGATAGGGACAAATGAAAAGGCATGAGTACAGTAAGAAAACCACCGGCAAGGTAATAAACACACTGATGAATGCAATACCATTACCCATAACTCCACTTAATTTTTTAAGAACACGAGAGTGGACAACCAAGCCCATGAATTCGGCTATACTTTAACACATTATACACCCAGAAATAATACCCTAAGAAAACAGCATGACAACCTAGAAAATTGTAACTAAGGTGCATTATGAAAGAGAGCAAAGGGCGAAATATCGAAACATGTTTATGTACCATTGTAGGTGAATAGTAGTGATATCAAACCATCCAACCTTCCCCCAGTGGGAATAATATCCTCCTATACTATGTAATTTATACAGGGCACTGAGCATGCCACCATGTTCTATATGGTTAGCTTCTGATCTATTTTCACTTCAATCATAATAGATTAAATCAAAAATTTGCACTAATAGATTTTCACAAACAGGGCAATATCATTAGTCTAACTTTAATCAAATAATTAAAAATATATATATACAAGTTTTCACATCTAGCCTTGACTTTCAACCATGTTTATTTCCATATGGCACAATAGAAATATCCTCATTTTGATATTTCAAGAGATTCACACAAAATATTTAGCTTAAGAGCTTGAGATGTACTTATCATGTCTTCTTTACGACTGGAACAGTAGAAATACTGACATTCAACTACTTCACCCAATGCAAACACATCTAAAAACCAGAGAAATAGGTTGATGTACCACGTTGTTCCAAGATGAAGAAAGATAACAAACAAGAATAACAACAACTATAAGCATTGGCATATTTCATTTAAATTCTTAACCACTTATGTCTTTAAAAAAAAAAAAAAAAAAAAAAAAAATTAAAGGTAGCAGAGACCATACCTTTGCAGGCCAGGCAGGGAAACCCTTAACCTTGGCGAGAACGAGATCGCCGATACTCAAGTCACTCATCGTCTTCACTCCTTTAGCTCCACGTTTACGCCCTGGAGCCATGGCGTTATTCTTCTTCTCCCAGAAACCCTAATATGTATATGTGTGTCTGTGGCAGTCCCTTCTATCCCCTTTCCCTTCTTCAACTTCCGATCGCAATAGAAGGCAAGAATCAACACCGGAGTTGTAATTCCCAAAACAGCGCGTCCTAAATTTCCCTTCTCCGCCTCCTTCAGAATCTGATTGAAAATATGGTCACGTGAGAAAGTGGAATGCCAAAAACCCTAGAATACAGAGATGGCTATGGGAAGTGGTGGAGGACGGCGGTGCAGCGTCGGAATAGCCAGCGGAGGCTTCGCGGCCAGCATTCGAAATTTGCATTCGATACAGAGAGAGAGAGAGAGGGGCGGTGGATGGACAGTGGGCGGAGAGAGAAAGAAGGCAAAGGGAGTAATAGTACGTGATGAGGGAAATGAAGATGGCTGACGGAGGATAGGGTAGGATGGTAATTTTAGACACATACACATATAACCACTCTTGTTTTATCAACTACGTAAATCTAACCATGGTTTGCATGTTATTTTTTTGGGGGGAAAGGGTCAAATAGTCCATTTAACATTACTCAATAAGTCATTTAGACCCTTAAACTTTCAAATGTTGTAATTAAGTCTTAAAATATTTCATTTTAGAGCATGAGACCCAAAAACCGATTGGTAATCTATAATTACATGTCACTTAGGTTCCGATGAACCTCCGGTGAATTTCTGACCATATTCCGGCAAATATCATCAGTGATACAGTCGTCGGAGTTGTTTGGTTGCCTTCTCCGGCGAAGGCAAAGTGCTCATTTTCGCAAATTATGTTCTTGTTCATTTGTTAAGAATTCATTAATGTTGACGAACATGTTCGCAAATTTGTTCATTAACATTTGCTCGATCTTGGTGTTCTTCCGCTCTTTACGTTTAATGGTGATTTCCGATTTTAGCAATAGCTACCTTAACCCAGTGGCGATTGTCCAGTATGATAAATGTCTGCAGCGTATCTCGTTTAGTCAACTATTCTCCGTGATAGATAAGTTATGACAACAACGAATATGGTGGATTGGGAGATTTTGTGTGATGGGCAATTGTAGTGATTTTGGGTCCCCTTTTTTTTTTTCTCCCTACAAACACTGAACAATAGTAATGACTGGATGATACTAACATAATTGGTAATTTGGTATGAGTGGTGTAAAATATAATTAAAAATTGTGGAAAATGGTCAAATAGACCTTTAAACTTTAGGCAAAAGGACAATTAGGCCATCAAACATTAAAAAGGTTCAATTACACACCTGAACTCTTTAAAATTGTGCAATTAGATCTAATTTATATGTAACCAACAACTTACCGGTAAAAAAAAAAAATTAAAAAATTATTTTTTTTTTTTTCATTTTGACCGGCGACAGCCTCCTTCCAATTTGGAAGGAGGCTTAACTTTGCCGCCTCCAGAGTCCAGCTTCCTTCCGATCTGGAAGGAGGCGGATGCTGCCTCCTTCCGATTCGGAAGGAGGCGGATGATGCCTCATTCCAATCCGGAAGGAGGTGACAGCCATCACTTCCTTCCAGTCCAGTATGATAAATGTTTACAGCGTATCTCGTTTAGTCAACTATTCTCCGTGATAGATAAGTTATGACAACAACGAATATGGTGGATTGGGAGGTTTTGAGTGATGGGGAATTGTAGTGATTTTGGGTCTTTTTTTTCTCGCCACAAACACTGAATGATACTAATATAATTTGTAATTTGATATGAGTGGTGTAAAATATAATTAAAATTTGTGGAAAATGATCAAATAGACCCTTAAACTTTATGCAAAAGAGCAATAGGTCATCAAACATTTAAAAGGTTCAATTACACACTTGAACTTTTTAAAATTGTGCAATTAGACCTAATTTATATGTAACCAACAAGTTACCGGTAAAAAAAAAAAATTAAAAATTATTATTATTTTTTGTATTTTGACCGACGGCAGCCTCCTTCCAATTTAGAAGGAGGTTGAACTTTGTCGCCTCCAGAGTCCAGCTTCCTTCCGATCTGGAAGGAGGCGGATGCTGCCTCCTTCCAGTCCGGAAAGAGGTGGCAGCCATCACCTCCTTCCAGTCTGGAAGGAGGCAACGGTCGCATCTTTCCAAACTTGAAGGAGGCAACTGCTTCCTTCCAGTCTGGATGGAGGTGACAGCCGTCACCTCCTTCCAGTCTGGAAAGAGGCAACAGCTGCCTCCTTCCAGACTAGAAGGAGGCAGCATCCGCCTCCTTCTATATTTGAGGCTGAAGGCTGTTGCCTCATTCACTTGGAGAAACGCGACTAGATATGGTCGTCCTCTCCAATGTCCAATGGAGAAGGGAACCATATCTGGTCGCCTTCTCCACCGGAGAAGACGACTGAACGGTTGTCTTATCCGGGAGTTTTTTTTTAAAATAAATAAATAAATAAATTTGTTGTCATCGGATTTTTTTCGTCGAAAATGTTGTCATAATTTTTTGATCGGTTATTCCAAGTGAATAACTTGCTATTGGACTTAAACGCACCAAAATAACAAGTTGAAGGGTCTAATTGAACCTTTTTAATATTCGAGGGTTTAATTGATCTTTTGCCTAAAGTTTAAAGATCTATTTGACCATTTTTTCAAAAGATTTTAAAATTAACACAAAATCAAAGTCTCTAAAGTGCACTTAAAACAACATGTTCGTGAATAGTCAGGCGGTATTCAATCATGATTGTTAAAGAGTCTTTAAAAGTCGTGTGGTAGTCGATTAAGACTTTTAAGGAGTCTTTAAAAGTCATGTGGTATTCAAAAAGTTATGAACTTTTGTAGACTTTTTAATTTTAAAACTTTTGTAGACTTTTCCTTCTCAAATATAAATAGTTGAAATCCAACCATCAACCCCAAGATTTTAAATTTTCTTTCTATCAACTTTGAATGTTTTCTCTCTCTATTTAAACTCTATTTTTTCTCTCTATTTAAACTCTATAAACCTATCTAAATTCAATAAAATTATTTTTTTCTTTATTATCCTATATTTCCCTCATACCTAAATTCTACCACTTTTTCTCTCCCCCCTAAACTTTTAGAATCTTCATCTAAAAATTCAAAATATAGAGTTCAAAAATTGTAAATATAAAATTTAAAAATTATTAATATAACCCGGTTTCACATTGCGACCCAAGTCCACTCCATAATTTGCCCAACTGCCGGAGTACTAAAGAACATCAGGCCCAATTTCTTCATCTTGAGCTACAAGGCCGAAACCCTACTGTTTTATGCTTGCAAAAGCTACACTGTGGGAGTTTTCAGTTTGTGCAGCTCAACTTTGATACAAGTGTTTTTCTCACCTTCAAGTCGGCAAAAATGGTTCCCCCTCTGTCTCTCTTCCTTATTGCGTTATACGTTTGTTTGAACTGCTCAACTAGTCTTGTAACTTTTCTACGTACAAGGAGAACTGATAATTTTAACATACCTCTTTTGATAAATTTATGAAGTAAATAATGAGGTGTATTGATATGTACTGGATGCTCAGACGAGTCCCCATTTGTGTTTAGATTTTGTGAATTTCCTGAGCTTCTTGTAGAATTTTGAATTTTGAATTTATAGTGCTTTTTTGTACCTCAGCAAGTGCTATGGTTTCATGGACAAAAGCAAACTATTGTTTTCTTGTGGTATTCTTATTATTCTGTAGATGGGAGCTAGTTTGGTTCGCCTAAGTGCCTACCAAATGTAGAATCATTATCTTAGACATGTGTTGGGTTGCATTTGTTGAATATTAGCATAGTCATGATCTCTTAGTTTTTTCTGCTAATGGTTGTTTATATCTACTCATGTCTCATCCTTCTGTTGTCTATATTTTGTGTTGTGGTATATATTAGTGGGATTCTTTCCTATAAACGGGTTTATTAGTTTTCTCCACTATTTAGCTAGTGATAATATTTGATGGATATGAAGTGCTGCTATGTTCTTCTACAAGTGCAAGAAACAGAAACTCTACAAGTTCTGCTATTGTTATCTTGAAGACTTAAATTGACCCAGGGATTGCAAATTCTCCAGTCACAGTAGCACTTTTTCATACTAATATCTGGCCTATTTATTTACCTTCTGTCCCATTTTCTGTTTTGCACTCAGTTATTAGTTGTCTACTGTACAAAAGCCTGACCAGTTGCCTGAATCTTACAGGTGAATGTTCCGAAAACAAAAAAGACATATTGCAAATCCAAGGAGTGCAGAAAGCACACATTGCACAAGGTCACCCAATACAAGAAGGGGAAAGATAGCCTTGCTGCTCAGGGGAAGCGCCGTTATGATCGCAAACAGTCAGGTTATGGAGGACAGACCAAACCTGTATTCCACAAGAAAGTATGAACTGAAACATTTCTAATCTATTGTCTCTAGAAACGGGCAAATATTGAAAATTGGTTTAGTATAATGTAAGGGGAATATATAGCATTGTCTTTGTGGCAATACAGTTTGCTAATGATGATTTATCTGCCTTAAACCAGGCAAAAACAACCAAGAAGATTGTGTTGAGGTTGCAGTGCCAAGGCTGCAAACATGTTTCACAACATGCGATCAAGGTTGGTTGTTAAAATTTATGTACTTTTTAAAAATTTAACGTCTTGCATGTTTGTCTTGTCTATTTTGATGACTGCAATTGTTTGTGCAGAGGTGTAAGCATTTTGAGATTGGCGGTGACAAGAAAGGAAAGGGCACATCTCTATTTTAAGATTGACATCAGTGAAATGAAATGGTATCAAATGTTTTCAAGTGTATGCCCACAAAACTATGCTTATTGGCATATTCTCCTGGATTATTTTGAAAAATGCATAGTATATATGTGTTTTGAGGTCTAAATTCTGAGTGAGTGGTTGGAATTGTATAATTCTTAAGAAGTTGTGGAGTTTTATGATTCAAAGCTGTTTGATCATTCATTCCATTGCTGCTATATTTTCTTTCGACGACATGGTTTTATGCAATTGCGATGGAGTTCCTTTTCCAAAACATATGAATTGCAAGTGTTTAGGCACATGCAGTTGTTAGTGATGATTGATGAACCACTCTTTGTGTGTATAACTGTATATGTTATTTGGTTCACAGCACACACTTCAACTATAGACTATATTAGTTGTCACCAAATATTAGTAATTTATTAATGAGAAAATATCACTATAATATATATATCAGTTTTAGTTCTTGATTATTAAGATTTTTAATTTTGGTGCATGACTATTCAATTTGTATTACATTTGGTCCTTGACTTTTTACATTTTCAAATTAGGTGCATGACTATTCAACTTGTATCACATTTGGTCCTGTCGTTAAATTTTTCGGTCAAAATTCCGGCCAAGTCACCGGTGACGGGTTAATTTATTTAATTTTTATTTTAAAATTATTTTAATAATTTTTAAAATAAAAAATTTAAAAATAAACAAAATTAAA